CAAAACTATTTGAAGATAAAAAAAGAAAAGACTGAGTTATACTAAAATGTTCAAAAGATAAAAAAAATGAAAATCTTGTAATTAGAAAAACTTTTATAAATGAACATGAAAAGATTCTCACAAAATATTAGAATATAGAACAAAAGAAAAGTGACCCAAGGCCAATACTTAAAAAATATAAAGGTTGCAAGATAAATAAAGAAAAAGAACTAAATAAATGCAAAAAATAAAGTAATAAATCAGAGATGTTAGGAACCTTAACAAACCTAATGAAAAAAAAAGCTGAAAATTGAAAATTAAAAATCAAGAAAGAAATGATTAATATAAAAGAGAATCATAAATATAAGAAATTAATAACAAAGGAGAGTCAAGTTGAAAAAATAGTATGCCTCATACAAGAAGAAAAACTAATCCAAAAACAAAATATAAGCAATGAGTTAAAAAAAGAACTGAATAGCAAATTATACAAAAACCAAGTAGAAAACTACACAAATTTGTTCTTTTATACAGATGGTTCTCTTAAAAGATCTAGTTTGAGAGAAAAAATTAGAGACAACAAAATGAATATTAGTTGAGTGCAAGTAGACAAAAAAAAAAAAATAAAAATTGATAAAGGTTACTTCAGAATGCAAAACTGATCATCATCAACCAAGCCAAAACTGTTTGCAATTTGGAAAGTTCTTTTAATCATATACAGAAATAGTAAAGTCAAAATATATACAGATAATGCAACAGCAATAGCAGGAATAAATAGAAAACTAGAAATTAAGTTCAACAAACAATGGCTTAGAGAAAAGAACTATGATATAAAAAGAAGCATAATAGAGATTATAAATCTCAAAGAATTACAACTAGAATTAATCAAAGTTAAAGGTCATAGTAATGATAAATAGAATAATTTAGCAGATAGTTTAGCAAAATTAGATAGTAGCTTAGAAAATAGAAATAGAATAGTTAAAAAAATACTACAAAGCAGAAATGTTTCATTATAATAGGAAGATAATGCAGTAAAAGACCCAACAAGACAATTTTTAAAAGATGTTCTCGATTTTAAAATAAGTACAGAATAGAGATTTTCATCAGTTATAAAGAAGCTAGAACTAAATAATGAGACAGAAGAGCACAATTGGCCACCTTTGTAAAGAAAAATTAAAGATCAAAGTGGAGTAAAATATTTAAGTATAAAAAAGAAATAAGCAAATTAGAACACTGATCAAGTGTTTGAGCAAAAAATTACCTCTACTAAAGACACTAACAGAATGATGCACAGATCTTTATACAAGCCCATGTTGTATTCTATACAATAAAGAAAAAGTGAAAGGCCAAAAGCATTTAGCAATATGTAGCAATCATGAAAAAGGTTAGTAAAATATAGAAGAAACCTCAACCAACCTGATGTGGTCAGCATTAACAGAAAAATCATAAAAGAACTTAGATAAAGAAAAACTTAAAGAAATTATATGAAGAAGAACCAAAAAGAAAAAGAAAGAGAGTAGATATAAAATAATTAAGTAATTAATTCATAAAAAAGCTACAAAAATGATTTAAGAACTGATGCAAATACTGACAGAAACAAAAGATTTCTTGTGAACATTAGTAAACATAATATAAAATGGTTTTTATAAGAATATATAAAAGAAATGATATAAAGCAGTTGTTGTTTGAAAAAAAGAACTAGAAATAGATCTAAAGAAAAAGAGAAGATACAGAAAACAAACATTTACAAAAACAAGTATATCAAAAGAGACAAAAGCAGTAAAATCAAACAAACAAACTCTAGTCTAGAAGGAAGAAAAGATAAAGAAAAAAGAGAAGAATAGTAATAAAATATAAAAGTTATGGCTAAGGTCAATTAGAAATTTTTGTTAATAATAATGTAAGGCCCTTCTTTTATGGCCTCAAAAGCTAGCTTGGTATAGCTTCTGGATCTGGATAATTTCTCAACCAGTGTGGCAAATTGCCTCTGAGCACTCTTGAAATAGTCAGAAAATATCAAACCAAAATTTAAGCATAACTGTATATACTAAATATATATTAAATACTTAATAAAGGTGAATAGCAAGGCTGCTAAAATTAAAAAAAAAGATTGATCGATTAATATGTAGTTAATTGACAAAATTATTAATTGATTAATTGTCATAAATGATTAATCAATTTCAATTTATATTACTAGTACCAAAATTAAAATTCTAATTACAAAATAATAATATAATGTTTTTTAAATAAAATATACATATACAGAAACTTTTTTATTTTGATTTTTTAACAAAATAACTACAACTCACTCTCATTATTGTATCAAGAATTCTATAGTATACTTCTCTAATAGTGATCACTGAAATTTATTAGTTACAGTATGATGATTATTTTTTTTATAAGTTTTTATGACTACAATTTCTTGACAATTCATTTATCAAATTGGGTCAATTTTTTTTATTTAATAGTTATATAAATAAGTTTTTATTTACAAAAATTAATAATGTGTAAAATAGCAATTAGTTTCAATTATAGCATAAATATGTCGAGACATACTTTTAATAAAAGTTCTAAAAATTGAACCATCCAAATTAAACTATTTATCCTAAAGCAAACAGAATAGTTCCAACTCACTGCCTGACAGAGAAATATGGTTACAGATAAAATGCTCTAATTCATCCCAAATATGTTCAATAAGGTTGAAATCTGGACTGTACAAAGGCCAGAGAAACATGTTAATACAATTTATTTTTAACTAATTTTTAATAAATATTGCAGAGTAAATTCTTGTATTATCATCTTAAAAAAGATTTTTTTTTTTAACAACATTTTCTAGACCTTTTAAATAAGATAACAAATAATTATAAAGAACCTTAGTATAATCTTTCACATTCATTTTACCAAAAACCTAAATTAATAGTCTGGGATCATACATACTAAAACAGCTCCATATTATCACACCTCTTCTTTCTAATTTAAATGTCAGAACCAAACAACTATATCATATTTTTCCTTTGGTTCTCTTCAAACATACATTTGATCATCTTCTTCAAACATTTCAAATTATGATTTGTCATTTCAGATGATATTTTTTTATCTTCTATTCCAATGTTTTCTGTTTTTAGTCTACTTAAAATGACCCATACAGGAAAGTTTATCCACAAATAATTTTCTCTTTCTAACCTAACCAAAAAACCCTTTTTCATGAAGACAATATTGAATGATATATTAGATACTTTAACAGATGTTAATTAGATAAATTTATTGATTAAAGCATTCAAACTAACCTTTCTATTTTGCTTCAAAAGGCATATAAGATGACAGGTATCACATTCAGTTATTTTAGAGAGCACCTTTAAATAAGAAAAAGATTTAATAACTCTGTTCTTTTTATAATAATTAACAACATCATAAATAATGTTTTTGAGAAATTTCAAAACTCTTATAATTTTTGCTAGCTTTATACCACTGTGCCAAGTATCAACAATTTGATTACATTGCTCTTCAGTAAGTTCTTTCCTTTGTTACATAATAAAAAAAAAAATTGTGAAAAAAAAAAAATATATAATCGAAACCAACAACTTCTAGTAAAACTATAAAAAAAAATTGTTACTTTTTGCTAAAATTTGGTTGTACAAAAATTTTTTTTTACAATGAGTCATTGCTATCAATCATATAGAATTTTTAAAATTCTAGTGATCACTGTCAGAAGAGTGTACTTCACTATATTGAGTTGAAGTTTAATAATTCTGTAATTCAAAATTCTTTACTATATGTAGCTACTAAATCCTCAAATATATTCAAAAAACTACCTGTATAAGTTTTTTTTAAAAAAAAATAAATAATAATTTTTAAACTAAATTAATATTTTGAACAATAACAACAGGCCCCCAGAAGTTATATTTAACTGAATAAAAAAATTTTAACCAATCAAATTGCTTAATATTGCAAAATTTTGACATTTAGAAACACTTACAGCAAAAGAATGCAATGAAGAATTTTAAATTTTGATCTTTAAATAAATATATCTTATAATTTAGTGATTAAAATAAAATTACTTTTTAAATAATTTAATTCATCTTAATAAGATGAATTAAATATTATAAAAATTAATTTTATTTTAATTACTAAATTATAAGATATATTTATTTAAAGATCAAAATTTAAAATTCCTCATTGCACCCTTTTGCTGTAAGGGTTCCCATTTGTCAAATATAACTTCTATTAGTATTGTGAAAGGTCTTATAAAAACTATTAAAACATAACAATCAACTTAATTCTAAAAATATTTAAACCTTTATATACATACTTGATACAATAAAATTAAATAAAATATTAATTCTAAGACAATTATTATTTGTACACGGATGATATCAAAACCAGCCGATATTTCAAAATTTCAATTATGAAACCACAAAAATTCTTTGCGAAATTTTAGTATAAATTATACCTTTCCCCAATCCCAAACCCTAGCCATAAGCAAGGGTTTAGTTTTCGTTCGTAAAAATTATTCCGATTGGCATATTAATACCGGTGTATTATACATCCTGTGTATAATTATAAATTTTCACTTATTGAGCCTTCATTATTATATATTATATAATAACTACCCAGCTATAACATGTTATTAGCTTTCATGTAATCAAAAAATTTATCCAATATACACATTTCCTGTTAGATGAAATCTTAATAAATAAAAAAAATTCCATACAAATCTATTTTTAACTATACGTATGCTTCGCAAATCACTAACAAAATTAGACTTAATCTCACCAAATTCTACTTAGCGTTAGGTAGCTATTATCTGCATCCTCTCCAACGCGAACCTTGTTATAACTAACAAGGGATCTTTCAGGGTCCAAGATGATTAAAGTTAAGGAATGGTCAATTCTTAATACGTATAATTATAGATACACGGTTACACAGTATCAATGACGGTCACATCTTACCAGTAAAAAAAAAAAAATTAGAAGCCATTCGATAAATTGCATCTCTCTCTTAATTTCGTTAATTTGAGACTTGCAATGGCAAGGGAGCCGTCAACTTTCACCCACCCCAGTATGGATATTCAAATAATGACTGCGGAAAATGTGCCAGTACAAACCGATAATTTAGTAATGACTTCTATATCACAAAGTGAACTAGGTATATTATAATTTCTGTGTATATAAGCAAAAATATAATTTATGTCAACGCGTTTTTCTTTTCAGCGATATCAAGTAATTCGTTCAACGATCCACCTCCATCTTTTGCTGAGTCTCAAAGGCAGAAATATCTTGAACAAAATTTTACCCGAGTTCACCACGTTCAAATTCCTGATAATAGAATAATGTTAAAATCTACTTCAACTCCGTCTCGAACTCCAAACCTAAGTAATGCTTGGGAATTTGCTGGGTACGTTCAATTTTAGTTATTATAGTGTAACCTCAAAGTTATTTATACGTTTAACTCAATTTTACAGATGGGGTTCAACTTATTATATCGATCTTCCACTAAATTCATCCGAGTCTTCAGAATCAAACCGTGTTTTACTCGGTCAATGGCGTGCCACTAGTATATCCGGAAATGATCTTGTTGCATCAGTTTTTTATACTATCGGGTTATGTACAACTGTGGCTGGAAAATTCGCTCCCATATCATTGTTAATAATTTCGATCATCCTTTATCCATTCAAGAATATTATAAGTGAAGTTGGTACTACCTTACCTTTAAATGGTGGCGCTTACAACTGTCTATTAAACACTTCTCCAAAATGGTTTGCTGCCGTTGCGGCCGCTTTAAGTTTATTAGATTATGTTGCAACAGCTGTTGTTAGTGCTGCAGCTGCTGTATCTAATGTCTCTGGATCATTAAATTTGTCCGATTCTGTCATATTTTGGCTTACTATCGGTGTGATTTTGCTATTTGCTGGCATTGTGGCTTCAGGGCTTAAAGAATCTTCCAATGTCGCTTTTATAATATTTATTTTTCATTGTTTGACATTGACTCTATTGATGATTACATGTCTGATCCAATGGATTATCCAAGGAAATAGTATACTGATCGAAAATTGGAAAGATCCTGGCTCTGGAAATCCATTACTTGACATTTTTAATGGTGTATGTATAGGACTTTTAGGAATCACTGGTTTTGAAACGTCTTCTAACTATATAGAAGATCAAAAACCTGGTGTCTTTCCAAAGACTATGCGAAATATGTGGGTGTTGGCTCTTGTATTCAATGCTCCCATTTCATTTTTTGCAACTTCATTAATGCCCTTATCAACTTTCAAAGAGCATCAAAATGACATTATTGCTACTTTGGGTGGCTATGCTGCCGGAAATTGGTTGAAAATTTTCATTATCGTTGATGCAGTTATTGTATTAGGTGCTGGCGTATTGACCGGGTTTGTTGGTGTCACAGGATTGATTTATAGGATGGCTTCCGATAATATATTACCTCAATTCTTGCTAAGCAAAAATCGGTTTACCGGGACTCATCATTGGATCATCTTAAGCTTTTTTATCTTTTGTATAACTTTATTCACGATAGTTAACGGTAATATAACATCATTATCTGGTGTGTTTGCTGTAGCATTTCTCAGTGACCTATGCATGGTAAGCTCTAATTTTTCAAACAAAATATGTTTTTCTCCCAAATTTTGATAATTTAAATTACTATCTTTCCTTAAAAGTATGCAATTGGGAACATTTTTCTCAAGTATAAACGTGGGAGATTATATCGACCAGTAAGAATTTTATTTATTTTATAAATATGGTTTATTTATTTATTTATTTTTAATCATTGGAATTGTGTCATAGATTCGTGTATCTACTGGAACTGCACTTTTTGGTCTTGCATGTATCTTGTCTGGGCTAGTAGGAAATATAATTTATAACCCATCCATAGCTGAATACTTTGCAATTTACTTTGGTGCCCTATTTACTATCATGTGGTTCATGTTGAACAGAGTTTGGCTTTTAAAAACAATTTTCTTTTACTTGGACAAGTCCGTAATGTTGCATAAATATAAATTAGATGATGTGATTATAAAATTAATCAAAAGGTTGAAGAAACAACCTGTTGTATTTTTTACCAAAACTGACGAACTTCATGTTCTTAATAAAGGTATGTGCGTTTTTTAATAATACTTAATTCTTTTATTTAACTCATTTCCTACAAACATTTGGATTTCATTTGTTATCTACCTTTTAGCCATTTTATATGTTAAAAGTTCGGAACCTAGTGGATATTTGAAATTGATTCATATTTATGAAAAGATCGAAGATGTAAGTATGGCAATTGAGAACGTGTGATCACATTTCTTTATGAAAAAATTGTTACTGTTCATTATCTTATATTTCTTTACTTCAATCCCTTGTTAATCAAGATACCTTCACGACTTGAGGCAAACCATCGTGTCCTTGATGAGGTATATATTCTCTCTTTTGTAGTATTTAACATTATCAATAATTTTTAATTTTTTCCACGTATCAATTATCCGACTTACAGTTATATCCAAAGATACAAATTGATTTGGTAATAATTTATTATATAATGTATAAATACGTTAGAATTTAAGACTAACTACTTTTATAGATTTTCATTCAAGGAGTGTTTAATCCTAAAACTGTGGATTGTATTTCAAAGCATTTCCAAATTTCGAAGGTATTTTCATATCTAACTACATTAATATGTGTTATTTTACGCATTGTAAAAATAATTTTTTTTTATATACTGCCTTTACATTTAATAGTCTCTTATGTTTATTGCATGCCCTGGTAGAGACTTTCTTTATAAGATTGGCGAATTTGGTGGAGTGAGGACTATAATGTTGTAATATCAGTTGATTTAAATGTAAATCTTGTCGATATAGTATAATTTTCTAATGTAATTATTTAAATGATACATAATTCTTACTAATTATATAGAAAACTATTAACTTGCTGAATAAAATAAAAGACAAAACACCTCATTGGGTTACAATCAAGGAATTTTAGAAAATACCATAGATGTAGAAATATTTACGTCACCTGGTTATATCACATTGTAAAGACGTCTTTACAATATATATAACCGGATAGCGTAAATATTTCTGTATCTATAAAAGATAAAGACTCTTTGACATATAAAAATACGAAAATTTATTAATTTACACGAAGTATATTAAATACAGATATAATTTGTAGGGTAAAATTTAAAGAAAATTTTTAAAGTTGAAATATATTAGGGTTAGAATGTGGTTTATACGGGGATTTTTTTTTTGTTAGATCCCAAAAAGTGGTTTTATAAACAAAATTTGATTTATTATATGTACTCGTGTTTTATACATTAGTATACAAATAGACATTGTATACAACAGGAGGAAGCATACCTGATACAAACTTAATCCCATACCTGGTGTGCAGCACATAAGAAAATCGTTTCACAATGATGGGTCACTTAACCGCCAATGTTGCAAATATGATCCTTTACAATTTGGATCGAATACGTTTCCTTCTGTTAGTCCGCTAACTTTAAACTTTAACCAAAACCTAATACTGTATATTGATTTTTATTAACAAGAGTGTGCACTATCAAAAAAGAATGTAAAAATATCAATTTTTTTAAAAAAATTAAGCTATTTTATATAATTGTTGGGTATATACTACCATACTATATGGAATGTTTTATATATATATTTTTTGGTATTAAGGTGAGGCTTTGCTCATATCTTTATTAGTAATTTTAGTTGTACATATTAATATACTATATATTAAGATATACTAGGAATGTTTTATATTAAAAAGGGATAGGATATTTTGATAATTTTTTAAATTTTTTTATTTGATTTTTAGATAGATATATAATTATTTTTTTATATAATCATACAGTTGAACATATAGTAAATATTTTTAAAAATATGTTTATAATGGAGTTGTGTTTATATATAGATTTTTTTTCTAAATTGAATTATAGTTTAGTTTTTTTTTTTTATTGAAGTTTATACTTTATAGCAGTATTTTTATTAACATATTGGGATTATTACTAGCTATATGTATAACTTTGGTTGTTTATTTTAGTAGTCAGCTCTAAGATTTTATATTAACTGCTATATCTATAATCTACTAAAAGATTATCTATTTAAACTTTTTGATTATCTGTTTTAGTAATTGTTTTTAACTGTTACAAACCTTTTATATATATATATTTTTGTATACTATTTGGGTAGCATGTATCTTTTTTTTTTGTACTAGTATGCAGATTATTTTTTATTAGAAAGTTATTTGCTAGCAAGACTTAAAACATTCTTCTTGTTAACTAATATATTTACTTTATAGATTATTAACAGAATTATACTCTTATAGATTTATCTGAATCTTAGCACCTATTTTATAGCATATTTTTAATACTTTAGTATATTTCTATTTTGTCTTTAAATTTCTAATTTAGAATATTCAAAAAAATTATGATTTGTCTTTAATATATTAATTCTGATTTGATATTTTTTTCTTTAGTTTGAACCTAGCAACCTAGTTGGTAGTATTTCTTATTTAAAAATTTTTGACTATTTTTTTTTTTTTGGTATTAAAATGATTTCTTTGGTCTTTTGACTTTTATTAATCACTTATTGGGTATTGTGGTTCAATGAACCACTACAGGAAAGTGTACAATTGGTTATATGTATAACTTTCTATATTATCTATTTAAAGAGTCTGCCTAAAGGTTTTCTACCAATTAGCATATCTAACACCTCTGCTTGGGTGTTTCAATTTAAATTTTCTGAACCTGTAATCTGTATTAACTCACTGGATCATATTCAGATGCTCAGATTATTAGCTTAACCTTAGGACTAATTTATTCTTGAGATAAATCTTTCAAAGCCTTCTGTACCTATTTTTATAGCTAATCTAAGTATCGCTATATCAAAATCAACACTTGTAGTTAGGGCTTAACTATTAAATTGTTGTACTCTTGTAGAGTTTACTTAGGCTTTAATATTTACTTTATAGCATAATATTGATACTTTAGTATACTTCTGTCTTTTCCTCTATCTTTTTACCAGACTTCCAATCCAGATAACTTGTGTAGGACTACAACTAATCTATTGTTATATTAGATCAGCCCAATATTCTTTTTCTTTAGTTCATTTTGGCATCCTGATTGGTAATACCTCTAAGACTCCAAACCCAGAGGTTCTTGTCTGTTTGGTTACTATGATCAGATACTAGACCTTGGTATCTGTTTCACTAAGCTAGCCTTTACAGTAAGGTTATTAAAGATCTAGTTACCTCTCTACTCAGGTCTTCTCAAATGAATTTTTTGTAACTTAATTTCAACAGATTTATATAGCCACAAGAATTTATTTAGTGTTTGCATTACCTGATTTGTTAGTTTGCATTCTTTTGTATAACTTCAATATTGCACAGATGCTCTATAACCTGTTAGTCATGCTAGTGTGACCATTATTACAGGTATCCTAACTCAATCATTAGTAACAGTTACCATAATATGAATATTATATAAGTAATTATCCAAATTTTTGCTGTTAATAAGATTTGAACACCCAACCTATCACTTAAAAGGTTGACAATCTGATTACTTCACTAGATCACTATATCCTAATTTTTGACTATTTAATTTCTTGGATCCGTATCATTTCATCGACAATTATTTCATTGACAGCTCATTTAGCTGACATTATACCAAGTAACAATTTACTAAAAATATATACCTGAAACTAATAAAACCCTAACACTAACCCCATGTGATGTTGGCTAAATGAACTTTCGGTAAAATAACTGTCAGTAAAGTGAGCAGCACTGAATTTCTATATATTGGTATTTGTATTATAATTTAATTTAAGAATAGAGTATATATAAGTTATTTATATAATATATACAGTAAATTTAAATTTATATAGCAAATAAATATATGTTACTAAAAATTTTTTTAAAAATATATTAAATTTTATTAAATTTTTAAAATATATAAATTAAATTAGTTTATTTATTATAATAAAAATTTATAATATATATTATTTTAAAAAAACTATACTTGTATATATTATAAAAGTTTTAGTAATAAATTTAAATTCTTAGTAGTAATATTTTAATTAGTTAATTATTATAATAAATTTATAATATCTAATTTTTTTTTTTGTTAAAAGTGATGATATTTTATTGACTTTTTTTTTTTTTTTAAGATGATCTCTTTGGTTTTTTGACTTTTATTAATCACTTATTGGTATTATGGTTCAATGAACCACTACAGAAGAGTGTTCAATTGGCTATATGTGTAACTTTTCTATATTACCTATTTAAGGAGTTTATGTGAAGATTTCTTATTAATTGCTATATCTAATATTCTTGCTTGAGTGTTCTACTTTAAACCCTCTAAACCTGTAACTTGTGTTAACTTACTGAGTTAACTCACTGAGTTATATTCAAATATCCAGATCATTGTTTCAACCTTAAAACTAATTTATTCTCAAGGTAAACCCTCCAGAGCCTTCTGTACCTATTTTTACAACTAATCTAGGTATCACTATGACAGAACTAATACTTGCAGTCAGAGCTTAACTATTAAACTGCTATGTTCTTATAAAGTTTATTTAGACTTTAGCATCTAATTTACAGCATAACTCTAGTACTTTAGTATACTTCTGCCTTTTCACTTGCCTTTTTATTAAACTCCTAATTCAGATAGCTTATATAGAACTACAACTAGTTTATTGGTATATCAGATCAGCCTGATATCCTTTTTCTCTGATTCATTTTGGCAGCCTGATTGGTGGTACTTCTGAAACTCCCAATCTGAAGGTTTTTGCCTGTCCAGCTACTATGACTGAGTACTATGACCTTGGTATCTGTTTCTCTAAGCTAGCCTTTACAGTAGAGCTATCGAAGATTCAGCTACTTTTCTACTTAGATCTTTCTAAATAGACTTCTTGTTATCCAATTTCAACAAATTTACATAATTACATGGGCTTATCTAGTGTTTGTATTGCTTAATTTGTTGGTTTGCATTTTTCTGTATAATATCATACTTATACAGATGCCCTATAAGCTGCCAGTTATACTAGTATAACTATCATTACAGATATACTAACCTAATTGTTAGTAACAGTTTTTGTACTATGAATATTACATAGATGATTATCCAAATTTTTACCATTGATAAAATTTGAACACCCAACCTACCACTTGGGAGGTTGACAACCTGACCACTTCACTAGGTTACTATATCTCTACTTTATTAACTTTTATTAAATTAGCTATTTTAACTATTTTTACAGAGATAAGAGTATAACTAGTCATATGTGCAACTTTTAGTTGTCTATTTAAGTAATTCATTTTAAGGTTTTACACTAGATGCTATACCTATAACCTACTAGAAGATTATTCATTTAAACCTTCTAATCATCTGTCCTATCATAATGTAACTCCAACTAACCTCCCATATATACCTAACTGGTATACTGTTTGAGCAATATGATACCTACTCTTTTTGTATTGGTTCTCAGATTATTACATATTTCAGAATATGTTACCTGCCAGTAAGGCATAGAGGGCCTTCTATTGTTAACTATCTACTCACTTTTAGAATACTAATAAGAGCTACCCTTACATAGTTCATTCAAATCTTGGCACTAACTTCATAATATATCCCTAGTACTTTTAGTATATCTCTATTTTGACTTTAGACTTCCAATTCAAATAGACTAAAAGGACTGTAACTTGTTCTTGGTATATTAAGGCTGGCCCAATATCCTTTTCTTCCAGTCTGAAATCTGGCAGTCTGGTTGGTAATACCTCTCATCTAAGGTTCTTGCCTGCCTGATTCCTCTATATTGGTATC